ACGTTAGAAATCTCGGTAACATCTCATAAATATTCTACTCTGATGAAACATTCTCCATAACCTTTTCAGAATTCAAGGACCTATTCCATTCTACAGAAAAATCTTAAAGAATATTGCAAATGAAACCCTAGTCAAATATTCATAAACAGATAGCATTGTTATCACCCAACGAGCCATAACCCCTAAACCGCGCGTTACCCATTGCTGTTGGCAACTGAATGGGCCGACCAGTAGTTAGGTGATTAGCGCAACAAAAAGCAAATAACAAGCCCTTGCAATAAAGATAAAACAAATAAAGATAAAACTATATCGGAGCCAGTGTTGGAGATTTCCGTTTGCATTTCCCAAAGAGAGGCAGGGAGGGTTCTCCGTGCAATTTTTATTTGGCATTGCAAGGCTTAAGGCAGAAAAGCAACGAGAGATATATATAGAGGAAAATAAGAGGGGTTGGAAGGGGAAGATAGATATGAGAGATAGATAGAGGAAGGGAGAGATAAGCGAGACAGAAGGAAGGAAGGAGGAATGGTAGAAAAGAATGAGGGAAAATAGACAAGGAAGTGGGGGGACAGAAAGAGTGAGCTATAGAAAAAGAGGGAAAATAGGTATGGAAGGATGGTGTCAGAGAAAGAGAAGGAGACAGGGAGGGTAAGAGATAGAGGCGGGAGAGTGAGTGAGGAGAGGGGGGGTGATGAGGGGGAGAGAGGAGAGAGAGAGAGAGAGAGAGAGAGAGAGAGAGAGAGGAGAGAGAGAGAGAGAGAGAGATGGAGGTGGGGAGAGTGAGAGAGGGGAGGGAGGGAGAAAGAGAGAGAGATAGAAATAGATGGATAGAGAGAGCGAGGGGGGGGAGAATGAGAGAGAGGGGGGGGGGAGTGAGAGAGGAGGGAGGGAAAGAGAGAGAGAGAGAGGGGGGGGGGGGGGGGGGGAGAGGGAAGGGAGAGTGAGAGAGATGGAGAGAGTGAAAGAGTGAAGAGAAGAGAGAGAGGGAGGTGAGGAGAAGAGATGAAAAGTGAGAGAGTCAAGAGAGAGATGAAGAGTGGAAAGAGTCAGAGAAAGAAGGAGAAAGATAGAGTGAGAGAGATATAGAAATGAAAGAGATAGAGATAGAGAATGATAGAAAAAAGAAAGGGAGAAACAGCGACAGGAAGGCCGAAAGAAAGGCATAGATAGGAAGAGCAAGAGAGACAAAACAAGAGCAAAAACCAGCTTGCTATTGCAGCTGTTGCTAATTGCAGACAGGTGTACAGAATAGGATTTAATCTGTTGCTAAAATCACTTCCCTCGATCTTTTAATTAAAACTCGGGAACGATTAAATCTCAAGCCAAACAAAATTCCTTGGGCATTTTTGAAGCGTAGTTATATCCCAACTTTTCGCAGAAAAAAAGCAAAGTTAAATAAACGAAGGAAAGCTTTACTTTCCCAAAAAAAGGGAAAAGTCAGTTTAGTAACTTCCCGTTATTGTCTTCGTTGGTGAGAAAATTCCATCTGGATGCTAATTCTCAGACCAAAGACATCTTCATTACAACTTTATTTGATTTATGCTTTATATTGTTTCCTATTTGTATCAAAACTGTATTTGATTTATATTTTATATTGTTTCCTTTTTGGATTAAAACTTTATTTGATTTATATTTATATTGTTTCGTATTTGTATTAAAACTTTCTTTTATTTATATTTCATATTGTTTCGCATTTGTATTAAAACTTTATTTGATTTATGCTTTATATTATTTCCTATTTGTATTAAACTTTATTTGATTCATGCTTTATATTGTTTCGTATTCGTAGTAAAACGGAATTTCTGTATCACTATGGAAAAGCATTATGGTTTATCTGGTAATTCAATCAATGTAATCAGGTACAGCCACTGGGTGTTATAAATAAAGCAGAAATGAATCATAATAAAGATTGTGCGTGTGCGTGCGTGTGTATATGTGCGCGTGTGTGGCCGTGTACACCCGCGTGTATGCAATTACGGAGACGAAATTAATCTTAATAAAGATAAAACCATACCCGTGTGCATATGCGTATACCCGTATGCACATGTGTATGTACAGACACGCACGCGCGCCAGTATACATACACACACCCATCAACTCCAACCCGGCTAAATCCCTCTCCCGCGATGCATTCCCGCAGCATCTCCGAGCATCCCAGAACCCGCATCAGCATCGCGATCATCTCCATCCCATCAGCGAGAGGCACCTCCTGCGTCTCGAGCATCCCCGGCGCGTTTCCTCGGCTCGGGACGACGGCCGCGGGGACTGCGTGACAGGTCAGCTCGCGGGCGTCGGGGAGAGGGCCGGGGGGCAGAGGGAGGTGGGGGGAGGGGTGGGTGGGTGTGGGGAAGGGGGGGTCTATCGGTGGGCCATTTTTTTTTTTTTTTTTTTTTCTTTTATCTGATGTTTTAATATGTGCAACTTTGGTTCTGTTTGGAGGATTTTTCTCTATATTGTTTTTTTTTATCAATCTTTTCTGTCTTATTGGTGCAATTTGTTGATGTTTTCT